GTATGTATCTGAAGAGAGTCGGTCTAAATTGGTCTGCTATCAGACCCCAAAATGAAAGTGTTGCCCGTTGCTTTCTGGGGCCTTAACGTGGAAATTACAAGTCTGGCGTCCCTAAAAGTTACACAGTGTTCCTTTTAAATTACTTATAACTTATAAAGAATCAATTTCACTTCCTGTGACAGTCTGGATCTTTTTTTTNAGTGAAAATATGCATGTAAATGTGTGACAAAAGAAACAATAAACGTGTTATTAAGGTGTATCATTGTGACAGGATGAATAGATAAATGGAAGTGCATAATAATTACCTACTTTCACATGCGGCCATGGTTTTAGCAATCACAAGGAAGTAGACTTTTTAGACACCACTAAACCCTCAATGTTCAGGATAAGGTTCACCTTCAGGAAGTGGTTTAGGTCAAAGGTTAAGAGTCGAGTTATATTTGGGTTTGAATGGTCCAGTCAAAGTAACAACTTAATTTGCCCTAAACTACATGGGCAACTGAATGACTGAATTTGGTGCAGATAATGATCAAGTGTAGAATCTATATCAGCTTTGACCTGCTGGAAACGTTTGCAAATGAGGTGAAGCGCTGTCAGTTTGGATGCAGAGACACGTATTGGCAGATATTCACCACTGGATCTAGGTCTGAATTCTAACTTAATATCTATTTCCTATCTTTATAATCACACTGACAGTACAGCGAACACAAAACCTCTTCATTATTTTATGTTAAGTATATTTTTTTGTTTATTTCTTCTCTCATGTTTGTTTATGAACAGCCACAGTGTTTAACCACAGCCGCTGCTGTCCTGACCGAAGGGAAATAGAGCAAACAGAGAAAATCTTAAGAACAAAATATACATATTTGAAAGTGCAAAACATTTTTCATTGTGAAACAAATATGACAAAAGACAGAAAATGTAAGTGTGCTGAAGGATTCATCTCTCCAGGGGTATGTCTATATAAGCTGGAAACATCTTCCCGCTGGGAATTTGCCCAATTCTTAAGACAGAGCTGCTTCATCTCCTTCAAGCCCAATGGATTCACTGGTGCACAGCAAATTCACAGTCATACCACAGATTCTCAATCATCCTGAGGTCTGGGATTTATTTTGGCCATTTTTAAAGATCTATTACTAGGCTAAGGCATAAAAAAAAACTTTCTTTGGCCTAAAACAAACTTTGGCACAAAATGAGTCAGAATCCATCTGAAACATGAATCTGTGCCTGATTGTTATTTGAACCCTTTGTAACTTTTGACCCAAGCGTTTGCTTAAATTGAATTATATCAAAAGACATTTCATGTTGGTATAAATAATTTGGCGGGTATTGATGCTCCATGCCTTTAAGAGGGTTGGATCCATCACTGAATGAGTCATGTGACAAAGAGCCCCGCAGTACAGCGGTCTGAGCTCACCTTAAACATTAAGCTAAGCAAGCTACAGCAGTAGCCATTAAACATTTCCTTGATGTGTCCTTGGCTGGTCCCCTAAGGTTCCTTTTTTTTTAAAACATCAGTCTTTGTACTAAAATATTCATACTGTCATGATTTGTGGACATTAATATCTAAAGAGAAGCACCATCTCCAGAATATTTTTGTACAAATATTGATGTTTAAAAAGGAATCTTAGGGGACCATCCAAGGAAAGTTGGGAAAATGTTGACCTAACCCTTGCTGCTACTGTAAGAAACCAGATAAAAGTTTTGGTCCTAGTGTTAATCTTAGAAATTTTTAATGATTTAAAGAATGCTGCCAAGATCAGAAACTCATCTGCGTATGTATCTGAAGAGAGTCGGTCTAAATTGGTCTGCTATCAGACCCCAAAATGAAAGTGTTGCCCGTTGCTTTCTGGGGCCTTAACGTGGAAATTACAAGTCTGGCGTCCCTAAAAGTTACACAGTGTTCCTTTTAAATTATTTATAACTTATAAAGAATCAATTTCACTTCCTGTGACAGTCTGGATCTTTTTTTTCCTCCTCCTTCTTCCAGGTAATGTTAACAGAGACACAGCCTTTAAGGAATGATAAACCGGAATAGTGCGACGATGTGTCAGTGACAGCAGCGACGACCAGCTCTCTCCCCTTTGACAAACCTTGATAAAAGAAAAGTCTAATTAAATGCAATGGGCCAAAGGAACACTGTGACATGCTGTGGACTCAGAGGATGTGGACAGTAGAGATAAGCCTCCCGTTGATTGACTGTTGCAGTCTGTTTGCTTCCGCTACCCACTGTAGTCTGAACAATTTCTGTTCCAGCAGCTCTTTCAATTACAGAACAACAGCAGAAAGCATCCAGTCCTGCTGACAAGCTGTGTGTTAGCGCTGCTGTGACAAAAGCTTGCAGTCAGCAATTAGCCACAACACTTCCCAGCTTCTCCGAGCTCTGCATCTTATTTAGCGTTATTTAGAGCTTCAGCTTTCGCACCATTTGAAACATCTTGTTAAAAACTAGAAGGTTTTATTTAAGGTTTCTGTTTTTTCCTACTGTGCTACAATGACAACATAAAGGGAAGATACTGGGAACATATCTGTAAATATACATTTGGATTTATACTTTGGATTATTATGACAAGAAGAAAAGAAAAACCTCACAGTCGTGTTAAAAGCTTCCAGTCCCAGCAGTCTTGCTTTAAGCTGCTGTACTGTAGGAAAACTTTTACACAATAGTAGCGTTTTGCTGAGGACAGTTTTCATTCAATCAGAATATTTTGAATGGAGATGAATTCATCCATTAACTCATTATTTCATTTTGCACAGAGAGCAAACATACTAGTTATAACCACAGGTCAGTGGTAACTAGTTACATTCACTCAGTTACCATTACTTGCATATCCGGACTGGCTAAACTGAGAATGGGGAGTATTCCCGAAGCGCCGGCCTGGGATTGGCCTGCTGGCCTGCATCTCTCTCTTTTTTTTTATTTTAAGTCTGCTGGTGCAGCGGCGGCGCTCCCGCCAGAGAGAGGGGCTGACCAGGCCACTTTGGCCAGTAGCAGAGACAGCAAAGTGTGGAGGAAGGGGTGTGTGACGTGTGTCTGAGGTCGGATGTGTTGCTAGTGAGCCATGCAAGCGAGGATAAGAAGCAATGAGCGCAGTAAAAGGAAGAGGGAAGGCGGCGCAGAGAGGGAAAGAGACAAAAAAAGAAAGGCGCTGGAGGAGGAGGAAGCAGCCAAATGTAGAAAATTAACAGATTTATTACAGCTGTAAAGTTACTGTATGTTCCAACATTCGAAATCACTGCAGGTCCTTCTAGATCAATGGTTTCAACCTTTTCTGACTTGTTTTCCCTTTTAGGAAATTTTTCATACTATGAGTTCCCCTCTCAGTCAAAGTATTGATTATTGTCCAAAAGTGGAACGTACAAAAACTGAAATAGATTAAAAAATATATTTGACCCAATCTTTTAATATGAGCATTTATTTTTTTATAAATGTTTGCTTTCATTCTTAAATAAAAAAAACAACATAAATATGTTGCCTGGAAGTTAGTAAGGAATCAAAATAAAAACAAAATAAAATCCTATTATAAACCTGTATTTATAAGAATTGAGCTGCCCTATAATAACATTTATGGGCGACAGCGGCGTTGGATGTAGGAGTTTGCCCTGAAATCGAAGGGTTGACGGTTCAAGCCCCGACTCTGATTTTCAGTGTCGTTGTGTCCTTGGGCAAGACACTTCACCTGCATTGTCTACTGATGGTGGTCAGAGGGTGGCGCCAGTGTACGGCAGCCCCCCTTCTGTCAGTGAGCCCCAGGGCAGCTGTGGCTACAATGTAGCTCACCTCCATCAGTGTGTGGGTGAATGGGTGAATGAATGTAGCATAAAGCGCTTTGGTCAAGTCTCCTGACTTGAATAAAGGCGCTATATAAGTACAGGACATTTACCTTTTTTTTTTTTACCATTTAAACTTGATAATTTGGGAACAGAAATTAAAGTCAGACTGACTTAATTAGTTTTAATTGTTTTCATCCAGACCCCTGAGCTGCTTTGATGAGCTCTGATAGCTGAGAGTGAAAACCAGCTGATCCAAGACTGTTTTCTATATCCAGTCTGCTCTCTACATCCTGACTGTTCTCTACATCCAGGCTGTTCCTCTGCTTGGTTTGGATGTGGTTCACAGCTGAAACTGAACTCAAACATAGAAGAAAAACTTATTCTTTGGTTGATAAAAGCTTGTTCAGTTTTTAATTTGGGTCCTCATAAAGCAAAACCAGCCATGTTTTATTTTTGTACTTTAGAAATCAGTCATGTCAGTCAGTCATGCAACCAGGCCAGGATGAAAATTCAGCCTGAAAAAATTTCAATTAAGCCCTGACTACTTGAGCTATTTTTTGACAGAAATATACTTTTAGGAGTAGTTTTAGTGCACCGAACCTTTTACTTCTTCCTGTGTAATATCATATATTACTTCATTACTTTTTTCTTTTTTTGTCCAAAGTTCTCAAGACAAAGAGCAGATAATGTTCAGGGTAAAGCTAGATATTTTTTGCTCTATAGAATAATTATATATATATATATATATATAATTTTTTTTTTTTTGTGAAAAAGCATCACGGTGGAGAAAACTTGAAAATAAAGATCAGAGCCCAGCTCTGCTGACCTTTCTCAGCTGTAAATAGATCCTGTAGTAAAAGTTGTCTGTGTGAGCTGCTCTGTTGATGATATGCTGCAGTGTTTCTATATTTCACCAACAGTAAAGGCATCAGTCCACAGCTCTGACTGAGGATTTTTATTACTTTGTTTAGTTTCAGTCACTGGTTCTGAAACCCAAAGACATTCTTAAGAAAACAGTCTCAATGCAGCTCAAACATACAAAAGAAAAATATTCTAAATGTTGTGAGTTATAAAAGGTAAATCATTCATTAAAATTCCTAATCTGATTCATTATTGAAAACCTTTACTGCTAACCTTTGCAGGTTTTATTTAGGTTTATTTCTGGACCTTATTTTCTAATCAATTTTATGCTGTAATGTTTTTGGTTTCTTCTCCTAATTTTTCAGAGACAATTACTGAGCTGCATCCGTGGAGGAAACTGTCCTGGACCCAATGTCAGCTCTCTGCAGTTGCCTGGAGATGCAAGTTTCTTTGCCAATGAGCTGGCCGTGCCCACCATGGAGTTTGCCTTTGAGCGAACCAAAGCAGGGAGTACAGAGGTATGCTTTACCCAGAACACCTGTTTCTCTCATATTTGCTGGTCCAACTGGATCGCTCTCAATTTATGCTGCCATTTCTAGCTGAATAGGAACGTTATAATCCAATGGTGGAGAAATGTCCGGCATTAACTGAGTTTCCACAGAACAGCCTTAGATTGGAGGCAATTCGACTTTTGCTCAATGTTGTCAAATCTGTCGACTCGCACTAAAGCGACCTTTAGAGCTGACATTTTTAAGCCGCATGGAGGCTCATCCTCCGAAGCACATTCAAAATCAGAGGCTAATTTAGGACCAACATGTGATTTCCTGGGTGTTGTGTTTGGGTTTTTTTATTTGGTCCCTCTGTTCAGTGATGGGTTTTTCACTTTTGACTTAGAATTTAAACAGGCATTAAATTAGTTCATTTCCAACATGGTTGGGAGACAGGATCATCCCTCTGTGTTTGCACTGTGACCTAATGTTACCTTTACAGCCACTCACTGATAGCTCCATTAGAGTTTCATGGAAAACAATAATCAGGATATTATGTTAGTCCATTTCCATTATAAGATCAATGGCTGCACACTTTATCAGTCACCATTATTAAGGTGAAAAGACACCTTAATCCAAAGTAAGTATTTCATTGGAGCCTGATGGACGGAGGGTTTCTAAGTTTATATGGAAACTCAAGTCAATAGTTTGTTTGTTTTTTACTTTAAAAGAGGAAATATATCAATAACAAAAGGAAGATATTTTGAAGATGTGGTTCACCAACTTCTTGGGTGTTGAATGTAACAACAACTATCTGCAGGTTGCAACACTATTAGTGCTATTTTAGTTGTTAAAATCATTTACAAACCCAGTTTGATAAACTGCAACCTGGATCCTGTCTCTGCAAGAAACAAATTCACATTTTCGAGTGTAGAAATTATTCATGGCCCTATTCGCTCCCATTAAAAATGCAATATGGATGTTTGTTGTACTACCTTGGGCTAGCAAAACAGAGATTTATCCCCAGAAATGTCAACCCACTCAAATTTGAAACTCCTCGCTCTACCGGCAACTTGGAGCTTAATTAATGTTAGAGATCTTCATGATGTTTATCCGCCCTCAGGGCTTCCTAACAACGTTAAAAAAAACAAAAGGCAGTGAGGATAAGGTCCAGGCTTATTTAAAAGGAGAGAAACGCCTAAATTAAAAGTCTGATACATAAACATGCTCCGTTAAAAAACGTCCTGCAGGCAGTGATTACCATAAACTCAGCAGCATTTGAACTCATTGACACCATTAAAAATTGGAAGAATCCAATTTCCTTTAAATCTGAATTGGAATGCATTATCAGTGGAAAGGCTGGGGAGGGAAATCCAGGGCTTTCTTCTTGACTGCCCACCTTCCGGCTTAATGTTTTGCTTGGTTAAAGTATTGATTTTTCTATTTGTGCATTTTGGGCTTACGAGGCCACCACAGCACTTAAGAACACTTTTCAACTGGATTTTTATCTTTGAGTTTCTCAGCTTCCTCTAAGAACCAACAGTTTTCTATTTGGCGAAAGAAAAGAAGATTATTCAGTAGTTTATGTTTAACAAACTTTGGTTTTATTACTGAGTCCTGCTGACAAAGACGTCTTCTAACCGGTGAAACTTTATGTTAAGTTTAAAGGAGCATCAATCAATCAACGAGGGATGGACATCCATGCTGCTGATCATTTCTGCACAAATTCTTTATATCCTTTCATTTTTCCAGGACCAGAGACTCTTCCAACTGTCCCCCACTGTGTGTTCAGACACACAATGTCGACGTATAGATATTTAAAAAACTGATACCCATTTTTAACCCTTTATAGGGCAAGTTGACATGATGGTCACTTAATCCTCAGTGAGGTCTAGAAGCACAAGATCTAGCAGCAAAGATCCTGTTACATGGCTGTACATCTTACTTTGGCATTTGACCAATTAGATGAGCCCTTGAATGATATATTACCTACTGGAAATTAAGTAAAAAAAAAGTTAACAACTCAAGAAAAAAGAGATACAAAAGTAAAATTAAAAAGTTAATAAGCCTAGTTAACAATTATATTTAGATTTATAAACTAAAAAGTCCCAGTATCAGCATTAATGCCTCTAAGTGTCACGATTTGGTGTTGGATTGAGGACCCAAAAGCAGAGGCAAGTAGGCAGAGGTGAATTTAGGTGGGTTTAATGAGGTTCACAGGTACGGAGGCAGGAATCAAAAATCCAACAAAAATAACAAACGAACCAGAACCAAGGAGACATCAGGGGAAACCAAACTCTAGGAGCCAGGGAGAGACGAGGTAAGCAGACAGATGTTAGACGAGGATCCAGCAAACAGGAACTGAAGAGGGAGGCTTTTAGNTGACATTTTTAAGCAGCATGGAGGCTCATCCTCCGAAGCACATTCAAAATCAGAGGCTAATTTAGGACCAACATGTGATTTCCTGGGTGTTGTGTATGGGTTTTGTGTTTGGCCCCTCTGTTCAGTGATGGGTTTTTCACTTTTAATAAAGATGGCTTCCTTCAACAGCTTTGCTCAATTGTTGGTTGTTTTCTATAATAAAAGAGCCTGAATATTCCTAACTACACTGGACCACTTAAACGCAGCTTTGGTTAGGGTGTTCTGTCTTTGGGATGAAACCACATCTAGAATAACAGTATCAGTGCTTCGTCACAAAGACAGAACACCCAAACCAAATCTCAGTGGTTGTTTATGCAGTCCAGTGCAGCGAGGATTGGACTGCAGGCTCCTACAGTATATTGGAGAAACATAGGAAGAACTACACAAACACATGTTGAAGCACCAGCAGCTTTGGGCAAGGGTGCAACTCATGAAACAAAGGAGACACCTTTGAGAGGATGGATGGTTTGAAAGAGGGGAAGAAGGAAGCCATCTTTGTTAAAAGGGAGAAGCCATCACTAAAGCGAGGGGGAGGACTCTGGTATCAGCTTCTAAGTGTTTAGTTAGCTCCTGGGACTCATTCTGAAGAGGTTGCATAAGCAATATCATCACGGTTCAAATGGCCAAACACAAGACGCAATACTCAACAACCCAGGACAATGGCAGTTGGGTGTGTCACTACCCGATCCATCCTGGAAGCACGCTCAGATATACATCCGGGTGTCCATAAATAATGTAACTATGGTACTAAAATTACTTATTTCTATCCTTAATTCACTAAAGAATGTTAATATCGATCTTTAAAAAAAAGGTTTTATAACTTCTGTGAGACAATTTTGATGCTTTTTACATTTTCTCCGTTAAACTGCTTCTCTGACGTCATCATGGGACATGATCACAGCAGGTAATCTGATTAAACCACGTTTATCTGCATTTAAGTTTGTTCTTTCTTTAGATTTCGCACTATATACCATAAGGCAAAACAAAACGAAAACATAAAACTACAAAAACACTAGATTTATGTTTAAAGCCAAATCTGAAAAAGTTAGCTCCTGGATGTAGCATAGGATCCCATTTCCGGTGCAGATCCTGCAGAGACGAGGGATAAAACAGATTTTAAGGCATTTATTTTCTCAGGAAATACATTAACCTTTAACAAATTATAGTTTAGTACACTTAATATTTTTGGGGAGGGAAAAAGATAATTTAGGTTGCCCTAAAATAAAATCGAGGGCGACCCGGATGTATATCTGGATGCACAAATGAGCTGATGGAGCTGATGCGCAGAACGGATCGTGCTTCCAGCTGGGATCAGGTCGTGACATGGTGGAATATTTTTGACTGACTTTAGGTGTGCTTAGGAAGAAGGACCTCCATGATGCTTAAAAACTACAGGTCACTCCAGTGCCGACAGAATGCCGCATTGCAGATCAAAAAACCGACAGAATTTGCAAGGAGTCCTGGAAAGGTGTTAAAAGTTATATAGAAAAATGTAGCTAAAGTCTGGTTGCCCCTGATTTAAGCTTATTTTGTGATTGATATGATCTGGATGACTTAGAATTTAAACAGGCATTAAATTAGTTTGTTTCCAACATGGTTGGGAGACGGGATCATCCCTCTGTGTTTGCACTGTGACCTAATGTTA